TCCCATTTCAAATGTTAGAGAAAAAGTGACAATAGAAAAGATATCATTAAAATAAATTAAATAAGGTCATCAAGTGAAAGAAGTATTAAACAAGCTTACGTATTTACTGAAATATTGTTTTTAAAAGTGTATCTTCAATCATACTTTCTAATAGGGGGAAAAAATTATCCGAATCATCTATTACTTTTGCTGCAAATTTCTCTTTCAATTCCTTATTCAGTAAATTAGGGATTTCACTATTTAATTCTGATTTCTCCATCTAAATTATATTTAGCTATTAAATATTGATAAATAAAATAAAGATAAATATAACAAGTAGCACTATGTTACACCTTAGAAAAGTTTAAAGAAGCGCTATATAAGAGAAGCACATCAACAGGGTAATAGGTACTTTTTATATTATGTCTCTTGTGTGTAGGGTATGTGAAGTATGTTTGTTTATACAAAATATCCTATATAGTTTATAAGTAAAATAAGTGTATTACTATCAGTATCAGATTTTAGTGATATAGTGCAAAACAAGTAAATAAAGTGTCTTATTTCTCAGTATTAATATCTCCTTTCAATCTGAGTTTTATTTATTACAATTGCTTCTCTCCAAATATGTTTGCTAATAAAATACCTCCTTTGTAATATATCAGCACTTTAATATATTATAAGCTTTATAATAATTGTAGACTATCCCCAATATTAAATAAAGATATCTTTCTAACTTTATAAATACAACTTGATTTTTGTCTTCATTACAATCTTAATCTAACAAGATAAAAAAAAAAAGAAAAAAAGAGTAAATTTAGGTCAATTAAAGTAAATAATTAAATATATAATATGAAAAAATAAAAATGAACTAATATTTGTAGATCTCCTTCAGTATAAAATAGACCACCATATATATAGCAATAAATAAAGTGATATACTAATCTCATTTATATAATTCAACCAATAATCATAACATAGATCCTAAAATAGGATCTATTAACATAATATTGAGGAATTAAAAGAACTTAATATATTATACTCAATAAGCTGGAATATTTAACAAAGCTAACCATCAGACATTGTTAAATATATATAAAATACAAGCACTATATATATATTTATAAGTTTTACAATAAGAAAAAAGAAAATGATTTATAAAGTATTTTCATTGTTTTAGATCTAAAGTGATGTAGAATGACCAACATAATAATATATAATTCAGTAATTTAAAATAGTATATATATATACTTTAACTTTCAATACCATCTATACTTAAAATCTCTTGAATCTTATTAATAACATTGGAGTCCTTAAATATATTTATAGGTACTTTTAAATATGTAGAACAAGTTTCTATTATATCATCTAAACCAACATGTTCATTTAATAGAATATTTTCAAAAAGAGTTACATTACTTTTTATAGCTTTACATATGTTACTTCTAGACAATGTCTCATCACTTATAATGGTATTTAAGCTCATATTTTCAAAATTATGATCTATTTGCCTAGAATTTTCCTTTGAATATGATAATACTTCATCATTACCTGTAAGTAAATAATTTCTAATAATTTGCACCATAAATATTAACTGTTGGCGAGGTGATGTTGTAAGAGATTTTATCCCACAAGCCTTTAAAAGAGTCCTCAAATGCTCAGTTGGAAGTAAATTAAGATTGACCCTGAATAGTGCACCATTTAAATCCATATTAAGATATTAATTTGATAAGTATATGATGATAGAGTAGTAAGTTAACATTTTGTAGACACATAACAAAAAGTCAGTTTAGAGCGCCAAAAGAAACTTTTTATATTTGGGATTAATGGATTCTTTCAGGTCCTTTAGCGCCAGTATCTCATTGTTAGTAGAACGTGGATCTAAATTAAAAAAAGTATTAGTAAAGAATATAAAATATAAGCTACTTAATGATAACATTTATATATCAATTTGGCCATATATAGATACTTAGAACAATTTAGAATTATTCAATCTTACCTTTAAGTTCATTAATTTCCCTAACAAGATCATCATTCTGTTTAATTAGATCCTCATTTTTTAATTTGATTTGTCTAATTAAACCTTCCATCTCCCCAATTAGTTGCTTTTTTTTCTTGTTTAATATTCTTAATAACTTTGTCCTTTTCATCACATATAGTCTTTAATTTAAGTTCCCAATCATTAATTTGTGCATTTAAAGATAAAATGCGATTTTCTAATTGAGCTTTGTCTTTCTCAAGAATCTTTTTTTCCTCTTTTAATTGAGTAATAATAGAACCTGTTTCTACCTTCATACTTAATTCTCTATTTTGAAGTTCTGTAACATGCTGTTTAGCCTTTTCATAAAGTTTCTCCTTCTCTTGTGCAATTATCTTCCAATCTACTTTATCATCTGCATCTTTCGACTGGTTATTATAATCCATACTGGAATTAGTTAAAGAGGTTTCATCACTAATCCTTTGATGAGAAATGGATCTCTCGGCTTTCCTGTAAGTTGATAATGTCTTTTTTTCTTCTTGATGCTTTAATTTCTTATATTTCATTGTACATAGAAAGCAGAGTAATCTACCATCTACTTTTTGCCTAATATCAGCACCCCTATCAAAAGCACATGATCTCCTACACATATCACAAGGTAAGGGTTCACCATAACTTTCCCTATTAGTCGTACATCTATCACATAAAGATCTACTATTCCATACTGACCAACAATCACAAAAGTGGCATCTTACTGGATCAGTATTATAAGTACATAGATTTTTGCAACAATCCATGCAAACCACCTTTTTAAATACATGATATGCCTTTCTTAGAATTCTATGCTGTAGGAATTCAACTTTACAGTGGACACACTCTTTCTTGCCCGAAGTATCACCTGATGTCTTAACTAAATTTCTATAACATTCCTTACATAATGGTGTAACTCTATCACGCCACTTTTCCTTTTGGCAGTCATAGCAGATATGTCTCTTATCTAATTTCTCTATTTTTAACCAAATTGAATCTGAGCCATTTGAATGGAAAATAGATGAATTTTCTAATTTTATTGAACATTTAGTAACTCTTACACCTGCTTGCACTTGACTTAATTGATTATCTCCATTTTTCTGTGTTATATTATCTGATAAACTAACTGCAGTATTATTAGTATTGACCTTAACATTAGATGTATCTTCTAAAGTATTACCTTCATTAGTATTCATGTTCACTTTAGTAGTCTTCTCACCTGAGCGATCCCATCTATCTGATCTATTTATCTCTTTTGTAGGTAACATTCTACTACTTTGAGTTCCAGAATAACGATCATATTGTGAATAACGGCTATTGTAAAAATTTTGTGTATAACTATTATTGTTATTGTAGTAATCACTTTGTTGGAATCTCCTTGTTCTAGTATAATCAGTATCGCGTGGATTTCTTGAATAGTTATATGGATATGGTTCAGATCTTGACATATCGTGACTATATTCTCTGTATTGATACATACTATTAGAATTTGGTACCCAAACTATATTTATGTATAGATGTGCCAAAGAAGTAGAACTAGCTACTTTTAATCCTGTCCCAGTTTTACAAATGCTAAGCAGTGGCTATTAAAAGCGCTTACATAACGTCTCGTCTTGTTTATTATTTTTCCCACAGGCATATAAACAAGATTAAGAGCTTAACTACTCCATACTTGGAGTAACTGAGGGATTTTGAAAGGTAAATATCTAAATATTGTTACTAAATAAATGAAGACTATAGATACAAGTTCTATACTTTCACTGTTAAATCAGGTAAGTTGTATTGTAGATCTTCACTTGTGCACATTATTAACTTTATATATGGCACTATTTTAAAAGGCTAAATCTGAATATGAGAAAAATAATAGTGAAAATTCTCACTTAACCTATATGATATTAAGATTAAAAATTTTACTAACCCAATTACCAAGTCTACAATCTTGTTCTGAAGAAGTTGATCAGACTGAATTATTATTAGCAAGGGATGTACTAGAGTTAGCAACATTTATTAGCATCAAACAAAAAGACATTGGAGCTTTTGAACGTAATGTGATGGAATTATTTATTTTCTATAATGATTATAGGGAGGTATGTTTAAGTTCTATCTTTTTTTTTTTTTTTTTTACAATATTAACTTTTAATTCTAATATTATAGATAATCTCACCCTCTAAAAATGAAAGTGTAATCCGTGGTATATATTTAGTACATTTGTTAAGTTGTGATCGTATTGGAGAGTTTCATATAGCATTAGAACGTATCCCTCTTAAAGATAGGGGAAATCAGTATATAAGTTATTCAATTGAATTGGAACATTATCTTACTGATGGAAACTACAATAAAATCATGGAGATACGTAATAAAATACCACTTTCTGAGTATTCATTTTTTATAGATAAACTTGTTGATACTTGCCGTGGGAAAGTAGCTAAATGTATTGAGCAGAGCTATGAAAAAATCAGTCTAGGTAAATTGCAAAATATGATGAAGTTCACAGATACTGATGATCTAATTAGATTTATTAATGATATGTCATCAGTTGACTTTGAAGATATAAAGGTATCTGATACTGATACATTAGAAAAGAGGATTAAATGGGATCTTATTGGAGATACTGTTATATTCACCTCTGTAGATCAACCTACCAACAATACGACTCTAGATCTAATACAAAATAGTCTTGGTTATGCTATCGAACTAGAAAGAATAATCTAGGTGTATATTATAAATATATATGATCTAATAAGCTTATTTATTAAGTGACTTTTTTTTATTTTATTATATTGTAATAATCTCAGGAATCTTCATATAAGCTATTCTAATATTGTTCCCAAATAGTGCATCTTGTCACATTTTGCAGGAGGCGGGTAATGCGTACGGATCTAAATTTCTTATATTTTTGTTATTATAGGTTCTTGCAAATATTTCTAATGAAAGAAGTTCCATATTTTATATACTGAAGGTCTACTACAATCTAAAACTATACTGTTTTTAATGTAAATTTATGTCTTAAGGGAATTACTTGTGTTTTTTTTATTTGGTATTCCAGTGCAAGTATGAAAACTAAAACTTTGGGGTTTATTGTTTATTACATTTTATACTATTATGATCATTTCTTGATAGTTTTAGGTGATATAAAAGCTTTTATTAGCAATGAGACAAGTGACATTGGTGAATTCTTATATAGAGATATTTTGGGGATATCTAATTTTGAATCCATTGGACTTCAATTATTAGAGGGAGAACTCTTGTTAGAAAAATTGGAACATCTATTGAATATTGATAAACAATGTGAATTTACAAGTTTGAAAGATGAATTGAAATCATCTGAATTTGAGCAGTTATCATTCTTAGCAATAGATAAAGAGATGAGTAACTTTATAGACTTATATAATGAATACAGAAAATATTTTGTTGACACTTACATAGTTAAAAATTCATTATTACTTAATTCCTCACTAGAATTTGAGTATATACCGAAAGATATGCAATTTGAATTTTTAAAAAGGCTAAATTTATTGGAGATAGAAAATGAAGAATATATGGATAAAGAAATAATGAAGCAAAGGGAAAATGGAACTGAAATGATTGAAGATATAGGTTTTAACTCAGTAGAAAGAGAGCAAAAAAAAGTGAATCTTAAGATACCAATGAATTTAATAAAGAATTCTCAAAATACAAAACTAAACACTTTGCTCTCCAAAGCAAAAACTTTATCAAGGGAAATAATGATTTCACAGGATATATCCAATAAAAAAGAGTATATTAAACCTAAATCAGTTTATTTACTAAGTTATGATAATACTTATTATATAGATGGCGAACAATTAAGAAAAGTTATTTCAAATTTAGAGAAATTATTGTTGCACTTTTATAAACAGGTACAACAAGAAAATTGTAAACAGATAGCTTGGTTACTAGTAGCTGATAAAAAAACTATGAGTTATATTGGTAAATTATTAATGAGGTTATTAGAAGATTTGAAGAAAATAATATTTCATTCAATAGTAGATATATTACCAGAAATGGATATTTATAATGAGTCGATGATTCAAATATATACTTTAAACATCAATGTAAATGGTTTATTAAATACAATTGAATCTTTGGAAACTGGAAAGTCAACATCATTTGTTTTTTTTGAAGATTTTAACAGGGATATTGGGAAAATGCTTACTATTAGAGCTCGTGCATTGAGTAGCTTAAAAATTTGGGTGGATAACAACAGGACTGAATTAGAGTTAATTTATTTTTGGCTTAAAAATGCTTGCAATGTTATGAATTCAATAACTATTTCTTTAATTAAATCAGTATTTGCTTTCTATATAAGGAATATTGGGGACTCAATTTTGACTTTCCAATCAATTAAAAATGAGCTAGCTACAACAAAATCATTGGATAGTTCAGATGATAAAGACAAAATAAATGAAGTATTGATTGAAACGTTTAAAAATGCATCATATTTATATCCAAGTACATTACTGAAATCTCTTGATCAAAAAGTAGGTTTATTAAATAACTCAGAAAACTATAACTTAGAGTTAAACTCTCTATTAAAGATATTAGAAGCAAGATTGGAAAGTACTATTAACAAATATGAATATTTTTGCAAACTATTCACAAAGTATATATTTGACGACAGATTATCACTTGATTATTTAAAGAAGTTTATTAGTTCTATCGTATCAGTGATGGAGGAACTAAAAATGTCTAATGGAATACCGGAAATTGTAATATTTTATAGTCAGGTGAATGAAGATGTTCAGAATTTAGATATGAAGAATAAAAAGATATTACAACACCCATCCCCTCATCGAATTAAATATATTAATAATTTAGATATAAATTCTGAGTATAAATTGAAGCTTGTGAAACTTTCTACTATGAAGTTAATTGATAAAACTTTTCATTCTATAGAATTTAGAGATTTAGTTCCAATCCAAAATACAGTAATGAATATCCGTAAATTTAACAAGCTGATAATTCCAGATATTTTATATCAATTAGAAACATTTGGCAGAATCTTAACTACATTCTATATGGAAGGAGTTTTAGATAATGAATTAATTGAACACACTAAGAATTTTAAATATAATAGCATATATTTGAATAAGTGTGATGGAGAAATCACAAATCTAAGATATTTGAAAGCAAGAATTAGTAAAAAGTACTCTCAAGTAGCAACATCAGTATGGGAGAAAGAAAAACAAATGTTTAATCTTACAGAACAAGATGAGAGTATGAAAAATTTGAATATAAAATCTCCAAGTCAATTTTTTAATTCGGATTATGTGTTGCAGAAATGTTATTCTTTAATACCTAAATTAGATACTTCATATTCATATAGTCCTAAATTAGGAGATATACATAAAGAAATAAACAAGATGAAATCTCAATTAGATTTATATTTAAAGGATATAAATTCAATATCTTCTAAATATAACAAAATTTTAAATATTTCTAAATTAAATAATACAATTGAGAGTTATCTAGATCAATTAAAAAACCAACTTAAGATTAAGTGTAGAGAGAAAAAACCTCGTAAAGGTTTAGGGAGATCGGTATCTATTATTAATTTAATCTTTCAAAAAAAAAGGAAATCAAGTAAGTGTATAGAGTTATCACAGGTATTGGAAGATACAAGCCTTAATATAAATAATATTATAAAGCAGGCAGATGAATTGGTAAACAACAATTTAGATATTTTACGGCAATGTCAAAATACTCAAGATATAAGCGTCAGCTTATATGCACTTTTTAGCAAACATTCAATACTTTCAAATATAATAAAAAATATAGCTCAGAGTGTTAGCTCGGAAATAATTATAGATATTAAACAAAGTATAGATAAAGCGTTACAAGAAACTAAATATTTAAAAGATGAGATTGAATGTTTCAACAAATTAGATGGAATGCCAATTATAGAAAAAATGATCAAGAAGTTAAATAATCAAATAAAAGTAGCTAAAAGTGGTATTGGTGAAGAAATCACCAATTTTATACAACTAAAGGTTTAGTATAAAATGAAATATAACAAAGTAGTAATATAGATAAACTTTTGAGTACTTTAGAAACATTTATATATAAAAAAGTTGTCACATAGTTCATAAAATTATTAACATGGAATATATAATTCTAATTTGTAAAATAATACATTAAGTATCTGCGAATAAATTAACTAAAGGTTCTAGTGAACAATATGTAATATTACCTCATAAGAGTCTTAAAAGTTTGATACCAAATTTTAGTTAAATGGATATAAGTACCTTTCTAATGAAGCATTGGCTACATTATGTTAAGTGGTAACCATTAACTAGTAAAAAAGATTTCAGTTCAATTCATTAGTACCGAAAGAAAAATAAAAGCTTTTATGCTTACCTTAGCAAGATATTTCAAGGTAATTTGAAATATAATCTGTGCATTCTTTATTAGGATATATAGACAATATTACCTATTCTACATATACCCTATATTATTATAAAATTTCCGAATCCAATTATAGAAACTTAGACAAAACTCTAAGAGTTAAATAGTTCTGTTAAATATCGCTACATAGAATGTCACTAAGTAAATAAAGCTGAATATTAAGATGCTATAGAGTAATATTCGTAGTGCATATTAATTTAAATAATGTATAAATAGCTTAGACAATTTGACAATCCCACATACTAGCACATTCCTAAAACTCTTGTTGGCTTTCTAGGTTTCGCAATATTACGTTTAAATGCTGTAGAGGCTCCTGCAGAAACTGGAGCTCCAAATGGTGTTAAATCTGAGGAATATGTAAACTGAGTAACATCACCATGTACATTCTGTTTAAATGTCTTCGCAATTTCTTCAGACATTAGCTGAGTAGCAGAAGGAGCATTAGATAATGCTTCTTGAATAGCTGCCTCTTCAGCTTGTACAGATGCATAGATTTCCTCCACCTCCCTCTGGCGCTGCAGTAAACGTAATTGCTGTTCATTAAGTTTTTCCTGCATTTCATAAACATCTGCAACAACTTCATCCAACTCCATCTTCTTAGCATCTCGCACATCCTCACAAAATACATGAAAATCATCAATTGTCTTGAATCTCTGACGCCACTGTGTAACAGCATTCATTATTCGAGTCTTCTGCTCCTCTTGTTTCTCTCTTAATGCAGTGTTTAAATTCTCTACATCAGAATCTTGAATTTCTATCAGCTTATCTAACCAGCAAACAACATAGTTTTTAAAGTCATCAAGCGCCATTGGCTTCCTAATATTAACATTAAGCAACGCAAGGCCTTCTGAAATATAACGGCTATCAAGTGTACCATCTATATTTGTAAGTCGTAAAAGCAAATCGGTATAACCAAAGTTCATAATCAAATGCCGTGATATCTTCTCAATCAGTGTATAATCTAGTAATCCAGTTCCATCTACTGAGTGATAGGCAAAGATAGTTTCTAGATTAGGTTCTAAGCCAGGAAATGTACTGAAAGCCCATTGTCGCACTTCTGTAGCATCTTCCACACGCTCTGCTCGTAGTTGTGCCAATTGATTTCCCATTTATATCTTAAACTTAGATTATTTCAGAATTTTATCAGAGTTCCAAGTTACACACAAAATACATAAACCTCTTGTACGTATTATAGACATATTCGTGTGAATACCGCCAAAAACATGGCGGTATTTGGGGTACCGAAGGTTTTTTTTCTTTGGAATACATGTATATACCCAAAATAATATTTTTCTTTTGTTTTCTTTAAATAAAGATAATCATCAGCTAATATTACACTATTACAATATATCAAACATTGATGATAAGTACACAATATCTAGCATCCCAATATTTGACTAATATCGAGTATTTTCGCAGAATGTATAAAACTTAATACTATGATCTTTGTAGCCAAAATAAAACTAGTAAACATTTAAGAAATAATTCGGAGTGTTTATATAATAGCGATATTATTGTGGAACTTTTTCGTATATATTCTTAAGTCTTCATTTCCTATACTATTGAAAGCTTGAGCTTGTTGTTGCAGCTGCAACAATTTCACAAAATGACTTATCAATAGAGTTCTTTATGTCAGCGAAAGATACCAATAATATAGAAGACCCATCACTACTCATTAAGGTAACTGTTTCACTCGTCCCAATGTCAACTTTTGCTAGAGCATCAAAAATATGACCCATATCAATAATAGGCCGACCTTGACTATCTGTTTGTTGGAATAAATATTCTCTGAAAAGTTTGCATGTATAGCGATCTCCAGTTTCATTCCACTTATGAATAGAGTTTAGTTGGTTCCTATCTGCAATGGTATTAATCTTCGTCAGCAGTCTAAATAATCTCCCATTGTCAATCTCCTTCTTAAATTCATTTTCTAATGCATCAGTTAACTTTAAGCTATGCTCAATTTGTGGAATCATTCTAGCAGCTAGCATGTTTGCTAAAATAAAAACATCCAAATTATTTTTGTGAAGTGCAGGTTTAGAAAGTAAGATTAGAACCAATTTCTTCAAATCATTAGAATAAGAGGAGCACTTTAAAAATATTTGCTCAACAGCGTGATTTAGGTCATTTATAATAGTCAATGAACCACAACATAATGCTAATATAATATATCCTAAGGCTACTAAGTCTTGTTTCTGATAGTCTGCTACAGTTTTTGTATGGTCTATACGAGTAAAATCTAGAATTCCCACACAATTGAGACGTAGTCTACCTCTATATGAAATCAACAGTTTAGTTGGATCAATAACTCTGGCAGCTAATTGAGCACTGTGTATATGTACTAAAGCTAATACTATTTGAATGATATAATTCCATAACAAAGGTTCACCAATAGGTTCCTTAAAATGAACAGATTCCATTGTACTTGCATTTGGTATGTAATCATATACAGATATAAAGGCACCAGGTGAGAAATCTAAAGATACGAAGCATTGCCTATACGATACAATACAAGGATGCTGTGTAAGCTTCTGCCATCTTTCCAAAATAGACTTGGAATTTTCATAATCAGAAATTGAGTAGCTATCGATTCTTCTTAAGCAATAAGCTGTATAATCTTCAGCATTTATGGCTTTGTATGCATAAGTCTGATAACCACAAAATCTTGTTGTAGGTGTTATATTGGGGTCATCTAACAAACAAAGTCCATAATAAATTCTCTGGACTACTGGAGGAACAGTATGAGTCATACTATTATGATTAGAACACTCAATATCATTTTGAGTAAGTAGGAGTGAAATGTTTTGAAGTTGTAATTCATGTCGAATTTGTGTTATAGCATTCATTTGAGGTATAGTTCGCAAGAAAGGTAAATTCCATCCACGGACTCTTCTACAATATTCAGATAAATCTAAAGGGGATGGATTATCATTTGGAGATGCTGTTTGCTGATTATTGTTTGAAAGGGTCGGTTCATTATAAAAATTTCCAACTTCAATAATTGCATTGTTTGGATGGTGATTATTACTATAAGTACTATTAGAAGATAGTCCATGATATGATAAAGATGGTATACCATTATTATTCGTAATATTGTTATTCGTATTGTTGCAAGCTGCTCCACTCCCAGATGGCCCTGAGCCAACATTATTCGATGAAATAACAGATTCATATTCACCATCTATATGGTCTACATTATGAGTTCCTTCATAGCCCATTGCAACGGTTTCACATCCTGAGACATTTGGATATAAGATACCTTGCTGGGGATATGAAGCTGCTATAAAGTTGTTACCTGACATCAAGAATGAGTGATCTATTAAACTTCCACTATTATTACTGGGATCAACAATACCACTAGTATTTTGACGTATTGAAGAAGGAATAAATGGTTGAGCTGAAGCAGTTAAATTAGAGGGAATATCGGTGTTTGAAGATAATGACTGTGTAATTGTAGTCTGACCAACATTATTAGTTAGGTTAGCTGTTAAAAAGCCAAGTCTAGGTTTAAATGTAGGTGCATCCGCATGAAATGATGACATAGAACTTGTTCCTAAGGATTGTTGATATTTCTTAGAGTCATTTTCATTACGTCTAGTATCGATCGATTTCTCCTTCATCTATATTTACCAACTTTACTATTCTGTAATGATATGTGATTACAAACCAAAGTTCCCTATATATACAATTATTATGTAATGATCAGATATTGCACAAGTAGTGAATTAATATATATATATATATATATATATATTTAATATATATATATATATATATATATATATATATATATATATTCTATTTATTTATTTATTATATATATTTATATGTTTGTATATATATAATAATATATAAAATATTGATATAATCCTCTACTTGTATTAGTTTACAGAAAATATGTAAACCAACAAGCTATTACTTTAAAATAACAAGAATTGATCACTCCAGTGCAGTCGACTCCTGCATCTACGTACAATTAAGTTTCAAAAATTGAGCAATATATTTCTAGTAACTATTTAGCAACCAGAATATAGAGTTATCTTTTTAACTTATTTCTTTCTCTCTCTTCCTTAGTAAAGATTAACTTTTAAACAACCTATTAGGCTGTAAAATACTTCTTAGCGCCAAAAAAAATAAGAGGGGCACAATATCAAATAATCTGGTATCGAAATATATCCCGCCAAAAGTAGACACCCATCTCAGTGAGTATTGTGAATATTAGAATAAATAACTGAGGGTATTAATGATAGATTAGTAAAGGTAATATATAATGTCTACCAATTTCCACATGGGAATATTAGCTAGTTTGCATAGTAAAATACCAAATATTACGATTATAGTCCGCCAATAGAAGAGAGGAGGGGGGTATGCTCATTTTAAATTTAACTATTACAAAGGAAAAACTTATGCGTCTGGTTTCCATAAATTGTGAGTTATAGGATTATATACTAATACTTAAATATATTAGATATATTTAAAGAAATAAAAAAGTAGAGGGATATATTTATATATACAGTGTATGTAATATATATCAATTACTCCTGCATACAGTCATCTTTGAAAAGAGTTATAATAGATTTGTTTGAACTTGTTACTTTTCGTATATAATGGATATAACTAAGTTAAATTTAACTTTCCTCTTACTAGTTATATATTTAACGAATTTCGGTATACAGGGCACATTAATTGGTATAGATTATGGAAATGATAATACAAAGGTTGCTCTGATTCGTCCAGGACGTGGAATAGAAATTATACTTAACTCCCAAAGCCAGAGGAAAACCCCTACTGCAATATCTTTTTCAAGCTCATCATCTCATACCCTAAGAATATTTGGTGATGATGCACTTAGTAATATGATTAGAAATCCTCTAAATACAATTCTTCATTTACCTAGTTTTGTCGGATTATGCACAATAAAAGAGGAGAGAGCTAAGATGAAATTTGGTTTGGAAAGTGAGGCATTATTACCAAATGGTTTACCTATTGACCTATTTCCATACAAATTACAAGATGATAATACACATAATAGCATAATGCTAAATATTGATGGTCATGGGATGTCAATAGAAGAGTTAAATGCTCATTTTTTAGACTATATACGCCGTATGAGTGAGAATGCAGCACAAAATATAAATTCTAAGAAAAGTAACCTGAATCCAGGTCCTATATATGGAAGTGACTCAGTAGGTGCTGTAATAGCTATACCTCCAACTTATACTCAGCGACAGAGACAAAGTTTAGTAGATTCTTGTGAGATATCTGGAATGAATTTATTTGGACTAGTTAATTCACTTGGAGCAGCAGCTATACAACAGTCTATAGATCTGAAATATGACGATCCAGTTACATTTTTATATTATGATATGGGTGCAAATGATATTTCAGCTTGTGTAGTTGAATTTAAACCAGCAAATGTTACTTATATAGGCCGTAATTTGCAATCTCATTACATAAGTGTACTAGGATGTCATATGGAGTCAAATGTAGGAAGCTATTTAGCTGATATTGCTATTGTAAGGATTATGATGAAGAGAATAAAAGAAGGGTCAACTAAGAATATTTCAGGAATACCACTAGATAATAATAGAGTACTACAGAAGTTAGCTAAACAAAGTACTAGAACGAAGTTGTTACTTTCTACTTTAAAACAAACAGAGTTCTTTGTAGAATCTCTCTACAATGACTTGGACTTTACTCAGACAATCACTAGAGAAGAATTTAATAAAGAAATTCAAGAGCCAATTCTAAGTAAGATTTTAACTCCTATATATAAGGCTTTAAATGTTGCAAATAAAACAATGAATGATATAAATGATATTGAAGTTGTGGGAGGTGGGATTCGTATACCAAAAGTTAGACATTTATTAGAGTCACACTTTGAGGAGTATGGAAAGACCTTGAATCAGAGGCTTAATGGAGATGAAGCTATGGCAATGGGGGCAGCATTTGTGGCTGCTAATTACTCTGCAACATTTAGGACAAAAACAATATACTACACTGAATATTCTTTCAATAATTATACACTTTGTATTGGATCTAATGTGATCCCATTCTTAAATAGTTCAACACCACTACATGGAATGCACAATATAGATATACTTCTAGATAGAGACATCTCAATTAGTCTAAAGGAAAATTCCCAAGATATTATTTCTTACAATATAACAGGTATTGAAGAACTAGTTCGTAGTGGAATGGTTAATACTCCAAATGTCAACATCACACTGTCTTTCAAAGTTAATACCTTTGGTATTATATCTCTTGAAAATGTTTTTGCATGGTATATGGTTAATAAAACAATGAGTAATTCATATGCAGCTATGAATCAAAATCAAGATGTCATTCTGAACAACACAAATAATGAAGGTAATCAGAATAGTACTAAGAATGAAGTAAATCATGTCAATAATAGTGATACTACTAATGATGCACAAAGTGAGGTTTCTTCACCAGTTATAAATGTACTGGTACCTAAATCTATCTCATTAAATTTTACAGAGAAGGTACTTTCATGTCCAATCCCTATTTCTTTACCTACTAAACAAAGTATAAGTCATCATATTAATGAATTGAATAAACATGATGCAAAACATCAATTATTAATGGATTCTAAAAATAATCTTGAGGGCTTAATATATGACATTAGAAATAGATTATATGAAGATATCTACATTACTGTAACTACAGAGGCAGAAAGAGAATATATTCAAACTGATCTATCAAGTATTGAGGATTGGCTTTATGAAATTGGTGATGCAATCTCTTTATCCAGCATAGATGATCACATAGAAGCAATCAAAAATAAAACTAAAGATATTATTTTGAGAGCTGAAGAATATAAATATCGTCCTGAACTTTTAAATATTGTAAATATGCAATTTAATTCTTCTTTGCAAACTCTAAGTGCTATTCAGATTACCCATACGTGGATACAAAATACAACTATTCATGAGGTTAGAGAATCTATTTATGAATTCAAGAAGTGGTTTGATGAATTGGTTATGGAACAAGAAAAATTAAAATCTACTGATATGCCTGTACTACTTAGAAGTATTGTATTAAGTAAACTTGATAATATTGTTAAAGATGTTTTACAATTAAAAAGTACTCCAAAACCCAAACCTAAATCCAAGCCTAAGCTTAAATATAAAGATGAAAATAAGAATTCAGATACATCACAAGCTACATTTAATGAAACTAATTCAAACAGGACCATATTAACTAATGAAACTTACAATGTTGAAGATATAGCTAAAGACCAACATATTTTTAATGCTACTAGTAAATCTGAAGAGACACTTGAACAAAACAATACTAGAGATAAATCAGAGCTATAATTATTGGGATTGTCACTTGTTTAGTTAATTAAATAGGAGTTCAATATAAGATCTAGTTATGATAATTGTGCAGGTAATTTTACTTATATATTGGACTTAAATTTTAGGAATAGGATTAATATTGAAGAAACTATGAAATTAAATTTATTTATTGATAGCTTATTTAAATATTGGGAAGGTATTAAGTAAATCAAATTTTCCTTCTTTAATAAACTTAATTAGAATCAATAATAGCCCATATCTTGAAATTATTAATAATGATGATCTTTATGTTTACAAAATTATATTGTTCATTAACATCTATTAATGTATAATTCTACTAAATCTTTAGAAATTTGGTTTTCTAATTTAGCTTTGAGTAAGTTTACGATATACCACAAATCCTTATAATTTCTTAGAGAATATCCCTGTAATATTCTCAAATTGTAGAGATGTAATGTCAAATTAACATCATCTATTACCTAGCGCCCCCTTATCAGTTTTATATTTAATAAAGCTACTAGTAAGTTTCTACTTTAATGAAATTACTTTATCTGTTATTAAGTTCTACTATTTGTTCATTTATAAATGTGCTTGCTGATCTGCCACCAAATTGTTTACAAGGAGATGTAATTGGTAGATGGAAAGTGTACTCTGGAATATACAAGCCTTGTAAAGAAATAAACCAATCATATCAAGATGATTTCTGTGGTTTTCCAGCTCCAGATAGAGATAATGTTCATGAATTTTTAACTCCAGATGAATATGGAAACTTATTTAATGAATATTTTGAGGTTATGGAAAAATTTGAAGTTATATTTTCTGCTAATAGTACTCTAGAAATTGTGGAAACAACTCCAGACTTTGTCAATATCTCTCATAGAAATAAAACACCAAAAAAACACACTGAGACTGTTGGAGATATAGGCATGTGGACTATGTTGCTTGATCAAGGTTTCAGCTTTGAAACTAAAAAGAGGCAATATTTAGGTTTTTTTAAGTATATCAATGAAGAAAATAATATTAATAGTGCATTTTCATATTGTCATACAACAATGTTAGGCTGGTGGGACTCCTCACCTAACTTAAATCAGAAAGGAGAAACCAATAGATTATTAACAATTGAAGAAAGAAAAGTTGATTATAAACCTTGGATTCTTACAAAAAAGGATAGTTTAATTCAAAGAGGATGTTGGTATGGAATCAGAATCATAGATGGCAATGGAGAAATTACTGATAGATCAACATGGACACTAAAAGTACCTAGATGGAGAATTTCTCCACTTGGGTTACCTCCTGATCATCCTGTAAATGCCCAGAATCCTTCTATTGCTGAATATCTTAAAGACTTGTTATCTACATATTCCAATATAACAGATGAAACAAATAAATTATGGGACTATTCTTATGAATTGATAATTAGAGGAGAAAATATAGCCGAAACTGCTAGAGCAAGAAAAATAATAAAATCTTCACCTTATTATTTACCACAAAAAAAATCTTATGAAAAGTACTCAGAAAGTATTTTTAATGCCAGAAATTCCTCTATATCTAACGAATCTTTTAAAATAAATGATGGAAATAATGATTCAGATGATAAAGTACCAATTTGGTTAAAAATTCACCACTTTGATTGGTCAAACCCAAAACATGTTTATGGAAGAATTGGTAAATTGCAAAGTGTTGTTCCACATGCTAAACATCAGGGTTACTGTGGAAGTTGTTATGCTTTTACTACTGCTACAATCTTAACATCTCGATTATGGATTAAATACTCATCAAATAATGATATATTTAATAAAATACATATATCTCCTCTCCAAATAATTCAATGTAGTGTATATAATCAAGGATGTGATGGTGGATTTATTACACTTTCTTTGAAATTTGCAAAAGATGTTGGATTACGTACTGAAAAGTGTATTCATGATTATACGAAATACATTGGAGTTAAACAAATTTTTCCAACACCAGGCATATCTCCAGATGATGCTGAGTTAGCTGATGATGGCCACAGTTTTATTCAAACTAAGGAATATGATAGTAATTTATCAGGTGATTTTGATCATTTGAATTCTGATTCAATTATATATAAAGATTATATCGAGAATGAATATTACTATTCAAGACATAAACCACCAAAGCTATCGAGAAAGTTTAATAAATATTCTCGATATCAATTAAATAATCAATTATATAACACACACTCTTCTAAATCTAATCAGGTATTGAAGCTATCAGTAGCTGAAACAATGTGCTGGGACTTAGGGGGACAATTAGGATATGCTATGCATAATTGCAAGAATTTACCACCAATAAAAGAAGATCTACCTGATTCATGCAATATACTTATAAAAGTTGATGAATATAGTTATATAAATAAAGTTTATGGTAAGACTACACCTCTTGATCTAATGGAGTCCATTTGGAATGAAGGACCAGTTGCTATTAGCCTTGAACCAACACTAGAATTTTCATTATATAAATCAGGAATATTCAAGGGATTTTACGAACCAATTGCACGTAAACACCCATGGGCAGATGTAACTTGGTATAAAGTAGATCATGCTATGGTACTTACTGGATGGGGTTGGGAGAAAGTTGGAAATGAGCGTATTCCATATTGGATTGTACAAAATAGCTGGGGATTAAAGTGGGGCGAAGAAGGATATTGTCGCATAATTAGAGGTATAAATGAACTATCTATAGAACAAGCTGGTGTTAGAACTTCTGTCAGTATTTTTGGTATTGAGGGTGCACAACCATATAATATGGAGAATTTACATGATGAGTCTGTATTTGACTTTATTGATAAGAAATAAGTAATAAATAACCTTTCTATATAATCACCTTATTGTCATATTAGAAGATAACTGATATATGTATTTAATTTCATTTATACTGGATTTTATATAAACTACTTGTTTACTTTTCCCTAAAAAATAACTACTCATTTCCACTTTCTGCAATGTATGCATACAAATTTGGCATTATACCGGTAAATTTGACCGCCTATATTACTGATGCCAAAATTACCAATCAAAATTTAAACGCGTAAATTTCAGTATAAATTGCTGTACAATTATTCGAAATAGAAAAAGTGCGGTGAACACAAATAAAACTTAAATTTTATGATGAAGAATATTTTTAATATAAAAAGGAAGAATAAGCGACGTTTAACTTAGAAATTAGACTTTGTATTTAAAACAAATTAGGGATATTGAATATATTATGAAATTTCAAACTAACGAAGTGATGAGCTTTGTTGCAAAAGATTATCGAGATATTTGTTGGGATATTTTAAGTAATGGGGAGATTGGCGAAGATGAACTATATAATATTGTTACTCAACAAGAATGTCTATTAGCTTTACTAGAAATAGCGTTATATCCAGAAGAATATGGTGAAGAGTTAAAGTTAAGTACAACTGCTGTTAACTTAGTATGCACTGCTGTCATACTAGATACAATCATTAGAACATCATATCCTTTTAGTTCGGATGATGAAAGATCTGATTATACTGGAAATAGTAACTGTACTAATGACAAAGAAACTAATATATGCAACAGTTCTTTTATGACAAGTACATCTGATAAATTACACTCTGTACCACTTTCAGTATTATTGATGTTTATGGCAGAATATTCAAGCTCAGAGACAATATATCGCTATAATTATGGGGGTATTACAAATTACTGCAAAATTTTATATTCACTATTTCTATATGACAGAGAGTGGACTTGGATATTTGTATTATCAATAAATGAAAATTTTATTTTATCTCAGTTAATATCTTTGATCCACCACCCATCAGTATCTTATTTATTAAAACTGATAATGTGCTTGGGATGCAACTGTAAAGATGTTATTTTGAAAGACAAACTTACACGAAAAAGTATCTGTACAACTTTGTATAATGAATATTGCTTAATTGATCCAAATACTGTAATTGTTAAATTGATTGAGAACATAGAAGATACCAAGGTATTAGAAAATGAACTAGTAGAAACTGAAAATTTGAAAATAAGTATGACAGCAAATCTACTCGTTGATATAGTACATCAATTTATTAATAAGTCTGAAATAATTAATTATTTTCATATTGGGGATATTAAATATTTCGATAATCCTATTAATATGAATAATGATGTAACTAGGTGGCTATTTAATAAAGAAAATATAAATGATTGGCCAATATGTAAAGCATACTTATTATGTATTCTTTCAGCTGAATCAATTACAAAGATCTCTGGTTGTCTAACAATGGCTATGCAAAATCTAGACATCAAATCTAATACCAATTTGAATTTATATTTTGTTTGTAAGATAAAATCTTGTTTATTATTATTAAATTCAATATTGAACTGTAATCCTATCGATTATATAAATTCTTCACCAAGTAACTCAGGTGATAACTATAAGTCAATATACAACTACTTTCTAAAAGAAATATGTTCATATATACCTAGAAAGTACAGATTAAATATACTTGGAATGTCTTCACTCAAATCACTAGCTAGAGCTAAGATTGATAATAAAGTCCGGGTTCCAAAAGTAACTACAACAGTTAAAGACCCTCCAATACGCTCTATAGAATATATAGTAGAGTCAATCATAGAGACTAATATAAATGGTAAAAATAATAAAATTAATAATAGGCCACAATACTGGAAAATCATTTCAAATGTAATGATACCACTTATACAAGAATATATGTGGAAATATCTGAGTTATATATACACTTGCTCATTGCAAAATAAAACACAAGTATTCTATATACCTAATTATTTATCATCAATCATTTCAATTATTTTAGAATTACTAAGATATATTGAATTAACTCTATCTTGCCCAGATTTAACATATGTTGGAAGAATTTTATTCTCAAAAAATCCAGATACTGGAATTTCCTTATTATGGGATTCATTTAATCTCATTTTATTTAATATTCATGAAAACTGCTGTGTATTAAGAGATTCAATACTAAAGATTATTGAGTTATGTATTACAAGCGTTAAAAGAAATATAATTGAGAGTAAACTAGATTTGAATAATACTCAAATTATTTTTCTCTATGACTTTCTAACAAATTCTGACTTTATTAGTCGCATTGAAATTCTACTTGAGAAACAGCAATACCAAAAACAGAAATGGATTGATGATAGAATTGAAAAATGGGACTATCCTAAAACTATCTCTTTAATGCCAACCTTACCACCAACATCCTCAATCTTACCTCCATTTATACCAGATTGTGTAATTAGGATTTATCAAGAACTATTTTTATTGCAATCAAATATTCCATGGATTGCAAATTTATTAGATCCAGTTAATGCCCAAATGAAGTTAAATGTGGACAAGGTTTTTACAAAGAAAGAAGTATGTATATATGAGGAGTTAACTACTGACAAGAATGAATGTATTAAAAATGATGAAAACTTAGTGTTCAATATTAATAAATCCAATATTATTGGTCTAGATAGTATATAATTTACCACTTTTGATATCCCTAAATTCTTTTTCTTATACTAGTTGTGAAATATTAAGAGATAGACAATACTTATATTGAAATTATTTATACTTGAAATTAAATAAGACTATATGATATAATATTCTATAAGAGTAAGTTTTTATTTTCTAATATTTTATACTACTATTAATTTTTAAAGTAGATAATAATATACATTAGTTATTAGGTATATCTAACTACAATATTAGGCGTTGTGTCGCCCGTGACTTCATTCAATGATTATATCTGATATCCGCATGCACCAAGACACCAACTTTTTTCTTCTTTAATCCATAATAATATTAATTCTGTACACAGAGATTATAGAGAGAAATAAGATATAATATTAGAATTTTTTAAGAATCTAGTGTAATAATTATTATAATGCATAGTGCATAGAAGTAACAAGGATAAAAGAAAAGAAAAAGGAAACAAAGACAGTAAACAGGAATTTATTGTTCTTTTATATTTTACTTTACACATATTAATTATATGGGTAATTACTCTTCCAATTATATAAGTATACAAGATAAAGAAGTTTCTCAGTATAATTACTTTGCTTATGGTGGTATATACCTAGATCGCTATGGTGGTTCAATAGGACTTAACTTCAACAATAAGTATTATGGCTCTTCTATTAAGGCTTTAATCAAAAGTAAAAACATCACAGAACTTTTACAAGATATTAATGATCTGAACCAACAGATAGTACAGCTACAAGAAAATATTAAAATATTAAATAATATAGTTAATTTGAACTCTAAAGGCAAAATAAGCAATAATATATATGATAACCCTGAAACAGAAAAATTCAATACATTTCAGAATTGGATTAACATTTTATTTAGTACAGATAAAAATTTATGTGTTTTGGATTTATCTGATGATTATAAAGAAAAAATAATAAGTAAAGGTATCCAAAACTGGGGATTTAAAGATCATAACCATTTATGTAGCTCTAATAAAATACAGAAGTGTTACTTTAATATTAGTCAATATCTTTACAACTTATATTTAGATGATATACATAATCTAATAATTAAGAAAAGAGAAATACAAACAAAGATATTTTATATTTCTGATTTATCAAAGAAAATTGCCAAAATTATATATAGTCATTTAATATGTAAAGGTTCTAATATATTGGATATAGGTAAAGGTATAATTCAACAACAAATATATGACAATGACAATTCTTCAGTAGATATAAACAATTTACTACAAACAGTGTCTACTGAAGATGAAGTTTATTTTCTACAAGATGATGAACAAAAATGTATAGTAGGTGATATTCTAAACATATACAAATTTATTCTGGATCATAACTTTAATATCAACTTTCAGAATTTTATCTGGATGATACAAGGAGAAAACCAGATACTCGATAACTATACTTTATACTATATTGGAGAGGTTTTTAGTATAATACTTAATGGAAATAGAGATGATAAATTTGTACTATGTAAACAGATTATTTCTGAAGATACTCTGTATGATAGTAATGTCTGTAATCACTCTGAGATCTTAGAAATGAAAATCGATCTGTTAAATTTTCTTCTATATACTCCTATTGAAATTGTAAAGTTAATATATAATAGAACTTATTATACATTTAAAACTAAGAAATACAGATACAGGTTACCAATATAGTTAACATGTAAATACCGCCTAATAAATAGTGCCAATTTATATTATATAAATCAACTTTTCAATAAGAGGAATTATAATAAAATTGGCTTGACGTTTTAAAAAAACTATTAAAATAGAAGAAAACTGAGTCTAGATAGTATTCAGAGTGTACATACATTTACATATATGTTTCTTTTTATAGTAGTGGGTAATTTGTAAAAAATTCTAGTAATATACTCTTTGTAATTCGTCTGCTAAGAATAATTATAATAAAGTCCCATTAATATGAGTGTACAAGCTTATATAGAAGATAAATATAAAGGTATTGTGTTAAGATGTGAAGCATTGGACAATATAGTCGAATTAATAAGTGATGAAAAGGATTTTTCGTTAAAATGGAAATCTAAGATTGACGAATTTATACTGAATAGTGACTTAAGATCGATAGCTACAAGTAATTTGGTAGCTTTAAATGAATCTAAGGAGATAATATGCAAAGATCTGATTTTCATGATTATTAATATAAAGGATTGCAGTTTACCAAAACATTTCGATTTTTCTGATTTAAACCCATATGAAATTGATGAAAATGATACTGTTAATAACGAATATGACCTAAAAAGTGGGTCTAAAACTACAACACATAATAAAGGTAGAACAAGGACACTTCACTTAACTTTGACAAATGGTCTTACTTCTTCTAAGTCAGATATGATTATTAGTGCTATTGAGTATGAAAGAGTAGATGCACTGTCCTGTGATTTAATGCCTGGTACAAAGATTTTGCTTTATGGAGAAAGTGATGCAAGATCTAATAGTGTAACTAGATATAGTGAAAATAAAACATTGAAGATGCAAAATGGTATATTATTACTAAAGCCATGTAATGTTAAAGTTATTGGTGGTATTGTTAACTCAATTATTGAATCTTGGAGGACGAATATGTTACTAGCTTCATATAGAACTAAAAATAGCATAGTAACATCTAGGAATATAAACTCAAAGCCTCCAAAATTTACTCCTTATACTGATAATATGAAGAAATTGCAGGAATTACTTAATGAGGCTAAAGTTGCACAAGAAATCTATAAGAAATCAAAATACACTCAACATGATAATATGGCAAAAGAAGCCAGATTTAATATTGAAGATTTTCATAAGAAAGTCATAAATAACAATGTTATAGATGAAGATGAGCAATCTAAGAAAATACATTCTCCAAATAAGACAACTAATAGTAATAATGTAGAAAAATCTGATAATACTATAATTAGGAATAACAATACTAATAAATCTATAACAGTGGACAAGTTTAGATTATCAGCAAAAAAAAATAAAGATAAGAAAAGTGATTTATTAAAATCTAAGAAAGACAACAAAAACATATATGATGATGATCCCGGTGCACCTGTCAGATTTAATAGAGGTAAAGAAAAAATTGACTTAGAGGCTAAGAAATTTATAAAAACTACTAAGACTAGTGTTTCACTTGCTGATCACCTATTTGCAAAACTTAGTATTGATGTAAAGCAGATTAGTGAGATTACTAAGTTACAGAATCCAATTAATACAAAGAATATAGAGTTCGAGGGATCTACAGATAAGAAGACAGGAAAAGGAACCATACAAAAAACTAAATAGTAAACAAGAGGATAACCCGGAATGTAAATATAGAACTAATTCTGGATCAAATAGATCTGCTTATATAAATAATATTGGAATTTCTAAATGAATCAACCCATTTAGATAATAACTAGTGAATTGTGAATATAATGAGATATGTTAATGTATTAAATTGAGTTTTTTTAAAATTGCTAACTAGGAACTAAACTTGAAATCTAATCTCCCAACTTTTTTTTTTCACTCTTAAAGAAAACCTATATAGTAACAATTTAAAAATTGCACTTAGTTATGTTTTTAGTACTTATCTTGTTGCTATCTAAAGATAGAGAAAGAAGTAATTGGAGGTTTAACCATCTAATTTCTTTAATAAAACTGTCTCACACAAAGTACATCCTACATATGGAATTCTTTGACTATTAAATGGGATAATCTTCAAGGTATATACCTAAAATAAGTAAGAATAACTGTTATTTATTATTTCCTTTGTACTTCTTTAAATATAGAGGATTAAGTATCACATTCTAAAGTATTACTATCTTCTGTTTCAATAATGACATTTTCTGAGACTGTATCATTTATTGAAATTATTTGCTTAACTTCTGAGACTGCTTTATTCTTTATTTTCTCAATTACTTCTTCGGTATTGGTCTTATTAAATTTCAACTCTGCTATAAGTTGATTATAGTTAAATAGATCTTGTTTTGCCTTCTCAAATCTCTCATTATATTCTATTTGAATCATCTCAGCTATCTTCTTGCGTCTTGATAGTCTCTGAATTGTCTTGTTCAACTTATTTGCCAATTCTGGATGTTTTTTCACAGTAGATAGTGCACCATTTAATTCAGCAGTATTCTGTTCTTGGTATTGAGATAAAACATCCATCATTGATCTACATTTAGATAAGTCCTTTTCACTTTGCACTACATAATGACTCATTAGGTTTAACTCCATATCTATACGAGCTAGTTTTATATAGAATTCAGTTAATTGTCTACTATCAGATAAGTCTGTAGCAATTGTTATTAGTCTGCGTCTCTCATCATCTGCAATAGCTTGTGCAGCTGCCTGTTTAATATGACTCTGTTGTACAAGATTCATCAAACTAGCTACTTGATTATTTAAATATGATAAACCTCGTTCTTTATCTTTACTAGAAGTATCATCCGTAGTAATTTCATCATCATTACAAATATTTCCTTCATTATTATCAGTATTAGATAGGATTTCACTATTGTATAAGTCGTCATCTTCGTTAGTCTGAGTAATTGCATCTTTTGTATTCGAACCACGATGATAAAGGCACTTCTCAGAATTTGTACATAGTTTACATTTAGAAATACCATTTACATTATTGTATTCTTCGCTAGGTTTATAATTACACGATACCCTTATATTATTATCAAGGCCACTACATTCATTGCCATGATTTATATCTATCTCTACACCCTTCTGTAATTGTATCATTGTATATTTTTTTGTGTTCCCATTGTTGGTCATTGGTTTCCCTATAAAGCATTTGCCTGTTCCAGAAAGCATACCAGAGCTTGAACCACGTAGTCTTAATACATTTGAACTAATAGCTTCATCAATATTAGGAGATGAAGCTGATCTAGTTATAACTTTACTTTGCAATATATTTGGATTAACTTCAACTATAGACTCTTCTTTATCTCTTTGGTTATTTATCAATGAACTAGCTTTAATAAAGGAGTCTGATGGATCCGGTTGTCCAAGCGGATTCTTTTTTTTAATTGGTGCTACAAACTGAAAAGAGCCACCAATGGCTAATTCAGTCACGGTACCCTTTTGTTCCTCTATATCAAGAGCATTTGGAAACGATAATTCTTCTTTTACTAGTGTATCATAAATCCCTACTTTGGGATCAAAAAGTGGCTCTGGCCTGACTTTTGGAATTGGAATTACAATTTCATCTTTTAATGTAGTCATTGGTAAAGATATCTTCTCTAACTGGAATTTCGGAGGAGGAGGAGGATTTTCAAATACTAACTCTGATATACCAGTAGACTTATTATTCACATTACATTCATGTTCTAATAATAAATATGCCGACTTAAATTCACCAGGAGATGAAAAATCCAATTCAGTATTTGATTGAACATTGATTGAATCCAAGTTTCCAGATACTAGTGTACAATATAGAGTAATAGTAATCAAAGTGGAAACTAAATAACTAAATATATAATGGACCATTAGTCACATAGAGATGTAATAGACAATATTATAAAGACTTTGTCCAAAAACAAAAATCCTAGAAACTAACAAAACTTCAATCTTAAATAACTAGCCTGAAAAATTATACCCCTCCTTTAGTTAATAGGTTTCATAGTCATAAATACCTCGATCAAGAATAGCGGGAAATTTCCTTTTGAGTAAATTTATAACTTACTAATATTTATTGTAAATAATATTATAACATAATCCAGCTATCTCTATACCGGCAAATATATAGCGGGAGGCATGTTTATATTGTTTTTTCTATTTTGTCTCAATAATTAACCGCCACAAATATTTGCATCTTTAGAGATCTAGAAGTCTAAAGTATTAATATTAAATTAATATAGCCTAAAATTATAAACTAAAATAAGTTTAGAAGTAATTTCTTTATATATATTACGGAAATATCTATATTTATTAAATATAGATGCAAAATTAGGAATATATATAGATTTCCAAATTGTATACAGATCATATTTAATAATGAGTTGAACAATACTTTAATTAATAAAGCTCCACTTTAAAGTTGATTAAGGTCACTTAGTATTAATGAGTATTACCAACCTAATTATTATCTAAATTTATTGAAATATAAATTAGTAAGAAGATAAGGTGTCAACTTATATTAACATGCTTTCTTGAAAATTTGAATATTCTTGTAAATTCCGATCCAACAAAGGTCCAATTAAAGTTGAGTTATCAATGGAATTATTAAAGTAATAATATATGCATCCTACTAACTACTAATACTCACTTGATTGCTAAATAATTGCACTTTAACACAAAAAGAAAAAAGTTAAATATGTAAACTTTACTAAATAGGATAATTTTCTTTCAGGAAATATTTAAAAAAATAATGATTGGGAGATATTCCAGGGAATATAAATCTCACTTTTATTTTCAATTTTATTCAAGTACAACATTACTCCCCTTATTAACTATCTCATCAAGTAATAACTGTTGGTTCTTCCCTTCCAGTTAGCTCAGTTAATTTAATATGACTATTTACAATTTTTATAAGGTCAGATAAAGCATCTGTAGTATTCATTTCCAATTTACTTTGATCAGTTATAGGACGTTCAATATATATTCTGATAGTATCTCCAGAAGACCCAGTCCCAGATTTACGAAAAATAATTCTTGAATCATTACTAAAATTAAATATTATACCTTGATTCGACGTAATACTTTTATCTACAGGGTCTACATAAGTAAAAGATTCTGCAAGTTTTAGTTTTAAACCAAAAGGTTTGATAATTTCCTGAAACTCCTCTGGATTATTAACATAAGATTGTATGTGACTTAAGAAGTTAGAAGCTTGATCATTCGTTAAATCTTCATAATCAAATCTAGTATAGTAATTTCTACCATATATTCTCCAAAAATCAGTTACAATATCCCGTACAGAAACTAGGGGTTGATTTGGATCTTGATTATTGTATGCTAATATTGATAGCCATGCCAACACAGCCCATAAACCATCCTTCTCTCTAATATGGTTACTACCTGTACCAAAAGATTCTTCACCACAAATATTAATCATCCCAGCCTCCATTAGATTACCAAAGAATTTCCAACCAGTTGGAACTTCATAACAAGGGATTCCCATTTTATTAGCAACTGCATTTAATGCACAACTTGTTGGCATTGATCTTGAAACTCCAACAATTCCATCACTAAAAAAAGGAATTACTTTTGTAGCATAAGATGTAATTATAGCTAGAGAATCTGAAGGTGTTACAAAAAATCCTTTACCTAATATCATATTCCTATCACAGTCTCCATCTGCAGCAGCTCCAAAATCTGGAGTGTTAGCTGTTATTTCTTCAGGGTTAAAAATTTTCATAATTTCAACGAGTTCTTTGGCATATGTCAAATTTGGATCTGGGTGTAATTTACCAAAATCTTTTTTTGGATTAGGATGAATTATTGTTTCTGGAGGCAAGCCAAGTTCATCAACAAATAAACTATGAGCATAAGGACCTGCAACACCATGCATAGCATCAAATACCATTTTAAAATCCTTTCTTTGGACAAATGATCTAATCATACCAAAGTCAAAAATATTTCTTTGGAGATCCATCCAATCTTCAATTGTGTCAATAACCTCTACTGAAAATTTTCCTAAAATAAGTTCCTGAATTCCCTTATGTGAAAGGCTTATTCTAGGTAAAGATACCTTCTTAATAATCGTAATATTTTTACTAATTTCAAATATTTTACTTGTTACAGATTCTAAAACAGGACTACCATTTTCATCATTAAACTTAACTCCGAAATCAGCATCTATACCTCCTGGATTATGAGATGCAGTTAATATTATCCCTCCTATTGAAACACCTCCCTCTCTTTCACGAATAATTGCACTAGCTGCTGGAGTTGAGCATAAACCATCTATTCCAGTCCAAATTTTTCTTACACCATGTGCAGCAGCTATTTCAGATGCAATTTGGATTGCTCTAGTTGTGAAATATCTCCCATCTCCAGCAATCAATAAAGTACTACCTTCAAAATAACCATCAGGAAATGACGAAAAGTAAGATTGGATAAAATTTGCCATATATGTGCCCTCAATAAATGCACGGGTTTTCTTTCTTAGTCCACTTGTACCTGCTTTCTGATCCATATAGGTCTTCACAGGTATAGTTTGAACTAAAAATGGAACTGGTTCTTGATGTTGCCTAACTTTTGTTTTGGTATAAGGTTGCTCAATACCACGCATTTTTACCTTGCAGTTTGAAAACTTGCATGATACATCTCCTATAGAGAACTGAATAAATGTAAGAAACATAGATATAGATAGTATCAAGATTAATTTCATTATTTTATTTTCTAATTATTACCTTAAAATTGTATTGAATAAATTTAGAAAACTAGGTCTATTACTCGTATACAAGCCCGATATTTTCAACTCCCCCCCCCTTTCCCCCCATTTATATTAGTTTGGTTTTAATAAATATAAAGTAAAAACAATTTACCATAGACTTTATAAGAATAATATTTCTTCCTAAAATAAGAAATATAAAAAAAGATATTGTGATTAAAATTTTTAAGGAAATACTACTAAATTTAAAATGATCTAAATACAAAATTTTGTTTCAATATAGATTATTACAATAGAAAATATTTTACTTTTAATCTACACAATATCAATTTATGTACATATTCAACTATTAATACTTGTTATATTGAGATTTACATTGTAGTAATAACTACAAAACTTAGCTAATGCTTATCAAATAATATTGATAAATTAGTTGCTTTGATTATAGAAATCTAATGTTAGTAATTAAAATAAGTTACAATTTAAATCAAAATCTTTATCAAAACAATTACTTTAAAATAATGCCTTCTTATTGTTAATAAATTGATAAAATAAATAATTTATGTTATTACTGTAGGTTTATCTCTACCTGTAATCTCTTTTAAACCTAATTTATTTTCAACAATATTAACAAGTTTAGCTAAAATTTCTTGAGTTGGATTATGTATTTGTGAAGTATTATGAATCACTCTCTCAATATATATTCTGATAGTTGCACCAACAGAGCCTGTACCAGAAAGACGTACTACAATTCTAGACCCATCTGTAAATACAAATCTTAGCCCCTGATCTTTTGATATTGAACCATCTACTGGATCAGTATAAGTAAAATTATCAGCATTCAATAATGAGAGATCAAATGGTTTAATAATGCTTGCAAATCTTTGCGGATCTTGCACGAATCTATTTAGATGTTCGATAAATTCATGTGCCTTCTGTGAATCAACTGCTTCATAATCAAATCTTGTGTAATAGTGTTTACCATATGTTTCCCAAAAATTTTCAACAATATTTTGAACTGTAACTAATGGTTTATCATCATTAGGATTATTATATGCTAATATTGAAAGCCATGCAAGTACAGCCCATAAACCATCTTTCTCACGTATATGACTACTACCAGTACCAAATGACTCTTCACCACATATTGCAATTAAATTAGCATCCATTAAATTCCCAAAAAATTTCCAACCAGTAGGTACCTCATAACATGGTATTCCTAATTTTTCTGCAACAGAGTTTAATGCACAACTTGTTGGCATTGATCTTGATACACCTGATAAACCACTTGAAAAATAAGGAATAGCTCTTGTTGCATATGCTGCAATTATCGCAACAGAATCAGAAGGTGTAACGAAGAATCCCTTACCAAGTATCATATTTCTGTCACAGTCTCCATCTCCTGCTGCACCAAAATCAGGAGTTTCATCAGTTACTTGATTGGGGTTCAATGGCTTCATAATATCTACTAACTCCTTTGCATAAGTTAAATTTGGATCAGGATGTAAATAGCCAAAATCAGGTTTAGGATCAGGATGTAGTAATGTTTGTGATGGTAATCCAAACTCCTCAACAAATAATCTATGAGCATATGGGCCAGCTACTCCATGCATAGAATCATATACCATACGAAAGTCTTTCCTTTTTAATAATTGACTAATCTTTTTAAAATCAAATATTTGTTTCTGGAGTCTTAACCAGTCCTCAATAGTATCAATAACTTCAACATAAAATCTTCCTGGTAATAATTCTTGTATACCAAGTTTATTCAGATTAATCTTTGAAAGTGGAATCCTCTTATAACTAGATAATGTCTTACTTTTCTCAAAAATAGCATTTGTCACAGATTCAGGTGCAGGACCTCCATTTTTTCCATTAAACTTAACACCAAAATCTCCATCTATACCACCTGGATTATGCGATGCTGTTAATAATATACCACCAATAGCCTTTCCCCCCTCTCTCTCACGAATAATAGTACTACCAGCCGGTGTTGAACACAAACCATTGATCCCTGTCCATATTTTTAAGACACCATGTGCAGCTGCAATTTCTGATATTATTTGCAATGCTTCATGACTAAAAAATCGACCATCACCAGCAACCAACAAAGTAGATCCTTCAAAATAATTTGCTGGATGAGATTCAAAATATGATTCAATAAAATTTGCCAAATATGTACCTTCCATAAAAATCTTGGTTTTTTTTCTTAATCCACTAGTTCCTGCTTTCTGGTCTAGATATGGTTTTACATCAATTATTTCCATTGCAATATTCGTTAAAAAAGAGATTCAACAAAAATAAATTTACTACTTTTGTAATAACCAAAAGTTAAGAAAGTATTTTAAAAAAGTACAAATATATACTATGTAGATCCATTTACTTTTTTTTCTTTTTAAGAGAACCAATATTTAACCGCTTTTTTTCTTATAAAAATTTCTTGTATTTTATAATTACTTTTCAAATTTAATTAATAAATTATTTATAACGATTCTTTGTTATCGGAGTTTAATTATTATTATATCACTTCATTTAAATATTCAAATTCACCTCTTCTTTTTTAGCTGATTATATGAAAGTCAATATGATAGAATTACAATGAAATAGATAATATTTTCAGTCTCCTGATTTGTACTTTTATATAACTTTATATTTAATCTAGAAACCAAATAATCCGTCATTTTTCAAACAAAATAATTACCTAGATGTCAGACTATTCATATTTAGAATATCTTATAATTCAATACCCATAAATTCAATATAAATCTTTTAAATAATAGATACATTTCTTAAATAACTCAATATAACTTTAATGAACTAAAAAAATAAGTTGACATGACTTGTTCAAAGATATACTAGAAAGTAGAATTTTTCTTAACCATTAATCTTAGTCAATATTCATTTAAATAAACTATTACATATTCGAAGAGATTGAATATTTCATTGTTGACTTTAATATCTCTAATAGTTGAAATTATTAGTCCCAATAATTATGAACTCTTATTATATTCTAAATAAAAGAAGAAAAAAAGTGATACTTTCAATCAAATAACATAATACTGGATCATTATATTAATTAATTCTTTAATCCTGAAAAAAGAAAATTAATAGTCCATCTCAT